TATTTTTTCTTGCAGTAGACTTTATTTTCTCAAGAGCAAAACCTACATCTTACATATTTCTACATTCTTATCACTTAAACCACTGCCTAGAGAGGAATAAGTAAATTAATGAAGTGATGAATGAACAGAGTTAACATGTTCACTAATAAAATAAGAATCAAATGTGGCCTCTGATGGAGATTAATATAATTCAACTGATGTTGCTATTTAATAAGTGGCAAGATCAGAGCCTCCCTTTGTTTTCAAAAACAACTGACACGAGGCTCTGAGATAAATTTATTTATGGTAGCATGGAAATGCCATGATTTACTGATCTTTACTCAAGCTGAGAATTAAAACCCCAAGCTTGTCATTTCCTTTCTGTAGATTCTTAGTCCTAGAGATAATTACCTAAACCCTCACCCTGAAGGCCTATTTATCTCCATTCCTATGGTGACACAGATTGTCCAGCTTTGCACACAAAGTACAAGTGCTAAGAGCAGAAATAGAAGAGAGGAGACTGGCTATAATTACAAGAACTTAATCTGTGAAATATTAATTGGGCTCTGTTAACTCTACTTGTTCTGTTATGATTAGAAATATCACATTTAAACCTGGCAGGGAGTTGAATGCCCGTGAACATGGGAGTTAACCTCCTTTCCCAAGAACTGCCTATCGTCATGGGAAGATTAACAACAATGTTGGTGAAACAATCGGGTCCTAGAGGTGCCTTCCCTTTGTGACTCTCCACCACCCAGTCTGTACTGCCTATAACCATTATACCTTGTCTGCTTCCCTGTGCCTGTAATTCCCACTTTCCCATGTAACCTTTGTTCTTTTACAATAGAAGCAGCTGCCTAATGGGGGAGAAGTAGAGCAGATTTTTGTGGACAATCTGCTGCTCTCCCATTCTGCCAGCATTATTGGAATAAACACTCATATATGATTCAATCCTGGCTCTGCTTAATTGGCTCAAGTCAACTATTTGCCCAGTTTCATTTTCTGGCAACTCTGGTGGAACCACAAAATGCCTGTATTTGTGTGTGTGTGGTGGGGGTGGGGGGTGGGGGAGGGAAAGGACTCTTCTGGGGTGAATTGTAAAGATCTCATTTGCTGCTTGCACTTGGGGTTCCTGGGTTGGAGGCCTGGAATCTTTTATTCACAGTTGCCTGGAATTTTCCTGTTTTTGAGTCCCAGCTACAGCCTCAGTCATCCCTATCATCTCTCTTAAAACCTAAGTTGAATCGAGTGTTCTATAATTCTGTAACGAGGGGCATCTGTTGTATGTTGCTCCCCCATCTGATGTGAGTCTGATCAGCTCCTGGTAGCCAGTGGCCTCTCAAGGTCCTTGCCTGGTCTCTGCATTCAATCCTGATGAGCTTAGGATGGAGACGTGGCCCTGCATAGCCAAGGACATTATTTTAAGTGTTTTTAGAGAATTATAAAATAACTAGTGTCCTGTGTGCACAAAATTAATGCATGGGATTGTCCCTCAACCAAGCCTGCACCCTCTCCACTCTCGGACATCCTCCTTGCAATCCAGGACTACTGGTTTCAAATCATTTACCTGCCTGCCTGGGTGAGAGATCCTGGGAACATGGTATAAGGAAAAGAGCCTCTGGTCCAGAGATAGGAGGGCCCAAGTCCTACTGGAGTCAAATGAAAAGCATCAGGCTGCTTGGGCAGGAGTCTAACAACCTCGCCACACCTGCCTTGCCACACGCTGCCCACTGCCCACCTGGCGTTTGGTCCAGCCTTCTATTGTTTTGGACATTACAGACCTTGGATCATTATATATCTATATCTATATCTATATCTATATCTATATCTATATCTATATCTATATCTATATCTATATCTATATCTATATCTATCTATCTATCTATCTATCTATCTATCTATCTATATAGCACTTAGATTGAGGTACAATATTTTCTATACTAAATTATCTATCATATATTCCCACATTTTATTACTAACTAACATAAACTTCATTTTTTCTTTCTTTATCTGGGATTTCAAGACACAAATGTGTGGTAGGTCACACATATGTTAGGGAAATGTACTAGTATACTGAATTCTCTGGAGACATAGTATAAACTAATTAAAAAAAAATTATATGTTCAAAGTAATTTAGTGCCTGGAGAGAATACTTCTAAAACAACATATAAATTGGTTTGTTTTGGGAAATGGTGTTCAAGAATCTCATATCCACATGAGAATTCTTCGTAATCTGGATAATTTTCCTTTAGAGTACAAAAAGCATAAATACTACATGAAATCAAGTGTTGATTAATCTGTAAACTTAGAATATTCAACACAAAATGGGAAAATATAATTCACTGCATAAAAATCGGTAATAAAATAGTTAATCAAACTCTTTCAAAGTAGGGGCTAAAAAACAATCATAAATTGTATAATAAAGTGAAATCTCTTAAGAAAATGGAACATTTGTGTGTTCTGTTCAGCTGATGATAAGAGAACTAAGTATTGAAACTGAGACTTTTTGTCAGAATAAATCTGTAGGTATATTTTATTTTAAAAGGTGTTTGAGTTTTTAACTGTTTTTGGTAGACTCAAAAAGATGAAAACAATATTTCTCAAAAGTAATGGCAATGTTTCTGGTAGATATATTTTATCTCACTTTTGTTCTATTTTCACCTTTAATCTTGTTTCCTCAATCTTTTAAATTTTAAGGTGGGGGAAATGGTGAAGAAGACAAATGAACATTTAGTATTGAAATCTTTTTTCTTTTGGAAATCTATCTAATATTGATAGTATCTAATACAAAGAAATATACCTGCATTAATAGGCCTGACTTCTAATGGTTTCATTTTGTCAATTTTGTTGTGGTTTTTCTTACAGTGTATGTTGGGAGATAGTTGGTGTGCACAGTTGTTGAAGTTGGACAAAGAAATGATTTGACGTGATAAAATTCTTATTTGGGTGATTTAAATATAACTTTTCCACAGTGTTGCCATTATGGTAAGTTGTGTAAATGAGGAAAATTTTATAACAGGCAGCTTCACAAATATCTGCATGAGAAAGGAATGTCCAGGGAGAAAGGCTAGTTTGTTTTCACTCATAAATGTCTATATATTAAACATACATGATTTTGATAATAAATCTCTAATAATTTCCTTTAATGAAATCATGCATTTAGTCTTCACTTTGTCTCTGTTCAGGCTGTTTCCTCTCTAAGGAATGAATACCTTCTCTCATTGTTTCATATTCTAAGACCTAGCTTTAAATCTTACTTTCCTCCTGTGAACTCATCTAGATATTATTGGAACCAACGTTTATTTGTCCTTAAAAGTTTATTTTTACTTCTCTATATATAGATTTCTAATGATAATATGTTTTAAGTAAGTTAGAAATAATAATTTTTATATTCTCAAACACAAAACATTACTTTATCATAAGACCTTAATCATTTTATGTGTTAGATGAAGATACTGAGGAAAGAAATTTTCCTTAGAGGTAATGTTAAACTTTTTTATTTTAGAGAAATAAGCTATTATCTGGCCCATAGTATTTTGTACAAAATGTATACTTCTAAGGATACTACTTTAGAAATCATAATGCTGATGTACAACTTACTAGCTGTGCAAACCTGAACAGTCTGTCTCAATATATGCCTCCTGTTCAGACTAGTCTTCTATAGAGATTTCTTTAACTATATTTACCAAACATATGAATATTCTTATGATAAAATATATACATCTTAAAATTTGTGTCACACTATTCTGTGATTTATTATGTGTTTGAAATTTGCCAAATAATTATCTTCTCTTTCAGTCTATGATGATCTCAAAACTGTTTATGTTTCAGTCCATATTTTAGACAAAGAACAAAAAGGCAAGTATAAGAAAGGCAAGCAGATAGAGAGCAGTTGCATTGGTAAATAGTTCCTCTTTATAATTTTTACTTACTAAATTACATATTTTTAATCTTCCTTTTACTTTTCCCCTCAAATTCACTATCCTTTCTCTCAAAAAACCCTTTTTCCCTCTCTAAGATTCCATAAAACTTTATTCTTTGCTCTTACCTTTCTCTTTATTCCTTTCATCTCATGATTTAATGAATCCATATTTATATGATTATCTCTGCTTCTTTTTTTACATGAAATTTAAAAATTGTTTTTGATTTGTTGTTCCTCTTATTTATGCATTCCTTGGTTGGTTCATCTATATGCCGTGACTGGGAACTGAACCCTCAACCTTGTTGTATTAGGATAACACTTGAACCAACTGACCTACCCAACCTGGCCTATTTCTCTCAGCTTTTATAATCCTTATTCTCACAAATTAGCAGTTTCTTCTTACACAGACTGACATTACCAAACTGTGCTTGCTGATTTTGTTTTGGGATACAAATTGGTAAGTGCTGGTTTGCAACAGAGATTGAGGGATGGACATATTATTGAGAACAGAATCCCTCCCCCCCCGCCCCCCCAAAAACCTCCTAATCACTTACCTGGAATTGGATATCATTTACCATGAAAATAAATGGGACAAGAATCAGGCATTTGAATTTGCTTAGTTGAGTGAAATAGTAAATGTATACTAGCCTTGTTTATTGATGATGGCTAGGTTTGTGTACATGTGTGGGAGGCAAATTATGAGCTTGTAGTGACATCATTTTGGTTCTAAGATGAAAACTTCTTTATTCAGACTAAATGGCATGCCACCCCAACTCTTGAATTTTAACAAGAGAAAAAAAAAATAACCACAGCATTTTCCTATGCTTTGAAAATCTCTCTAATCCCTCTAATTTACCCACATAAAAACAATCTACAACTACTATTGCTATTTAGATTATTCTCTAGTACAATTTTCAACTATAGTTTTAACTACTTTTTTCATGTCAAAAAACATTTTTAAAACATAAAATAACTATGTATTTTTCTATCTGAAACATCACTTTGCTAACTTTACTTTCAATATTAATTATCACGGTCATTTTTCCTTTGTGATCATCATTTTTTTCTTTTTCCCAATTCAGATATAGCAAGTATAGTAATGGGAAATCATACATCCTGGAAAGTGTTTATCCTAGCAGGTTTGACTGATGACCCACAATGGAAAGTTGTGTTATTCATCTTCCTGCTTCTCATTTACATGCTAAGCATCACCGGCAATCTGATTATCATCACACTCACCCTGGTGGATATTCACCTCAAGACCCCCATGTATTTTTTCCTTCGGAATTTTTCCTTTTTAGAAATCTCCTACACTAGTACATGCATTCCTAAGTTTTTGCTTACTATTGCAACAGGGGACAAAACCATTTCCTATAATTGTTGTTACACTCAGGCGTTTTTTGCCTTCCTTTTTGGAGCATCTGAATTTTACTTGCTGGCAGCCATGTCCTATGACCGCTATGTTGCCATCTGTAAGCCCCTGCATTACACAGTTATCATGAGCAATAAAATCTGCACACAGCTTGTCCTCAGTTGTTGGCTTGCTGGCTTTTTTGTCATCTTTCCACCGCTCATCTTAGGCCTGGACCTTGACTACTGTGACTCCAATATTATTGAGCATTTCTACTGTGACTCCACTCCTGTTATGCAGATATCCTGCACAGACACAGGGACTCTTGAGCTGATGGGATTCATCTCTGCTTTGGTGACACTTTTGGTCACATTGATATTGGTGATACTATCATATGCCTTTATTGCCTTGACCATTTTAAAATTCCCTTCAACTAGTCAGAGGACAAAAGCTTTTTCAACATGTTCTTCTCACATGATTGTGATATCCATTTCTTATGGCAGCTGTATTTTCATGTATGTTCAGCCATCCGTCAAACAAAAGGTATCTTTTTCCAAGGGAATTTCCGTGCTCAATACTTCAGTTGCACCACTTTTGAACCCTTTCATCTACACTTTACGGAACCAACAAGTGCAAAAAGCCTTCATGACTATGATCCACAGGGTTATATTTTTCTTAAAGAAATGAATGACCTTTTGCACTCTCTATACAAAAAAAGAACAAAAAAAAACAACAACAAAGGAGCCCCTAATAATGACAGTATATCTAATAGTATCTTCCAGTTCATAGTTTCCAATAATTTTCTTCAATAGAGATATTTTTTTTCTGACCTCATTTTCTTTTCCTGTGGACATGTAAAAGAAACTGAACTAAATTTCTAACCTGACTTTTTCAGTCTTCAATTCTAATTAGTCAAGACTATGAAATATTATTTAATTTGAATTATATTTATCGATAATATTGCATGCAATGCCAAGTTTATTACTTATTTATTATCATTGGTAACCTATTTAAAACCAATATTCATTAATATTTTCTCTAATACTACTGATTTATTGGTGCAATTTCTAATTACAATAATTAAAAGGAAACTGTAACAGGTTTTCAAGAGTGTTTATGCTCATCTTTGAAAATGTTTGTTTATTAAAATATGATTGTTGTTTTAAAGTACATTTTATAAAACTAGTTATTTAGAAGAAATATTTTAAAAATAGCAAAGAAATGAAATAAAACATAGGTAGGAAGAAAACTACATATAGTATAAGTTGACTAGGCAAGTATATAAGTTTATGTAGCCTTTGTAGAATGAAGAGGATCTTAAATATATTTGGATCATGGATATGATTTCAGGGAAAATGGTTGCTTAAAACAATTTATTATATTTTTTTCTTGATAATTTTGTTTGTATATCCATTTTGATAAAGTTGATTTAATAATCCTAAAACATTATTAAACTTTTAGAAATTTTAAGAGCAAGGAAATGAGAAAAAAATATATATTATAACTTTGAGTCAATCTAATAAAACCTAAGTTTTCTTACTATTATGATGAATTTTGATTCTGTTATATCTCAATCAGGATGAGTTCACTTATAACATTTAATGTAAACCATTAAATTATCATGGAGCTATTCTTAAATGTTTTACTTAATAGATATTTAAATGTTTGCCATCTATTAGTTATTTACTATAGAGGATGTTTTATGATTTTTAATAAAGATCACTAATATTTTTAAAGGAGATATCATCTTAGCATGTGATTAGAGTCTGTAAAACGTACAGATAATTCTCCCATAAATGTAAGTTCTAGGCATAAATGTGGCTTATTCCTGAATATCTCAAATGTAACTGCTATGTTTTAGAATATATTTATCATCTGTAGTGCTCCCTTTTTCTCAACATGGCATAAACACTGTAATCAGATTGTCTAAAAATCTCTAATTTTTAGTCAGTCATAATTTGACAGTTTTAGTTATGCTATGTTTTCTTTTCTTATTTAATTTACTAAAATTTTTCATTACTCATGATATTATTTACTAACCATTGAATTAGGTTTTCCATTGTGATGAAAATACTTGAACTATTTCTTTTTCAATAAATATATTTTCTTGCTTGTTTTGTAATCTGAATTTGAAAAGTATCATTCTTGCCTATATTTAGCTCTTATTGCCTTCATTACATTTTACTTGACATTCTCTTCTCAACCATCTTTTACTGGTTTATAAGCCACCAATTCAGTAACCTCCTTTAAACCCTGACTTTCCAGATTAGTCATCTTTTTTCAAGAAGACTTTGAGATATGTAGAATTCAAATGCACAAAAACAATAACATAAATGGTAAGAAGAGATTAAGCTAAAATAGCCCGAGGTTTTAATAATCTGAAAACTAATTAAGGTAAGAATGCATGCTGTGATCTCTAAGATAATGTCTGAAAAATAATTAAATATCACAAAGAAATCAATATAAGTAAAATAGAATAATAAATACTTATTATCCCAAATAAAGACACATGAAAATGAATATAAGGAACAAAAACAGGTCAATGAAATGGATAAAAAGTAATAAAAAGGGAGATATAAGTAATTATATTGAATTTACATGGATGAAACATTATTCAAACTAATTTTTACTTGAATTATAGAATTATATGATGATTAAGTTTTAATATAAAAAAACAGAATGGAAAACTATGTAACCAAAAAACATGTTTTAGATAGACTAATGGCAGGTACACTAGACTTTACAGAAAAAGGCATTAGAATTGATAAAATGGGATCTTTCAGAAACAGAACTAATCCATAAGAAATATCACTGTCTGAGATAAGCATATTCTGCCTGTATTAATCAGGGTGCTCCAGAGAAACAGAACCAATGTGAAATTTATGATAAGGAATTGCCCCACTTGATGATAGAGGCTAAGAAATCCCACAATCTGCTATGCAAGTTGGAGACCCAGGAAAGTATTGACATAATTCTGAGATCCAGGGAACTGATGGTGTAAGTCCCAGTTGAGGGCAGGAACAGAGAACAAATACCACCTCACCACTCTGCGTTTTGTTCTATTTGGGTTTTTCAGGGATTGGATGATACCCACCCACATTTGGGCCAGGGCAATCTGTTTTACTCAGGCACAGAATCAAATGCTAATCACATCTGGAAACGCACTCACAGAAATAATATGTAATATGCATATTCTATACCCCAGTCCAGTGGTTCTCAACGTTTCCAATGCCGTGACCCTTTAATAGAGTTCCTCGTGTTGTGGTGAACCCCAACCATAAAATTATTTTGGTTGCTACTTCATAACTGCAATTTTCTACTGTTAATGAATTGTAATGTAAATATCTGTGTTTTCCGATGGTCTTAGTCTCTACAGCAGGGGTTCTCAACCTGTGGGTTGTGATCCACAGGTTGAGAACTACTGGCAGGGCCCCCTGCCTGGGTCCAAGCTGCCTGATGCTGCCTGCCTGGGTCCCCATCTCAGCTTGGATCCACAGGTGGCTTCAGGCTCTGCCCCCCCCCCCCCGTTGCCTGCCCATGTTCTCAACTCCATGGGCAGCATAGGGCATCTGCCTCCCTCATGCCTGCACATGCAAATGTACCTGCCATTTTGCTGTGTTAATTTGCATATCACTCCTGATTGGCTGTGGGCTTAGCAAAGGTATGGTTAATTAGCATTTTTCTCTTTTATTAGTGTAGATTACTTATGAGTCCTTATGGCCCCATTGCTCCTCCCAACCCCTCACTCATGCCCTCACCTCCCTGTTGTCTGTGTCCATTGGTTAGGCTTATATGTATGCATACAAGTCCTTTGATTGATCTCTCCCCCTCATCCCCACCCTCTTCTTCCTTCCCTCTGAGGTTTGACTGTCTGATCGATGTTTCTCTCTCTCGTGATTTTTTGTTTGTTTGTTTGTTTAAAAATATATTTTATTGATTTTTTACAGAGAGGAAGGGAGAGAGATAGAGAGCTATCGATAGAAACATCGACCAGCTGCCTCTTACACACCCCCTACCGGGGATGTGCCCGCAACCAACGTACGTGCCCTTGACCGGAATCAAACTTGGGACCTTTCAGTCCACAGACCGACGCTCTATCCACTGAGCCAAACCAGTTTCAGCATCGTGATGTGTTTTTGTTCATCAGTTTATGTTGTTCATTATATTCCAAAAATGAGTGCGATCATGTGATATTTATCTTTCTCTAACTGGCTTATATCGCTTAGTATAATGCTCTCCAGTTCTATCTATGCTGTTGCAAATGGTATGAATTTCTTATTTTTTTACCGCAGCATAGTATTCCATTGTGTAGCTGTGCTACAGTTTTTTAATCCACCAATCAGCTGAAGGGCACTTAGGTTATTTCCAAATCCTAGCTATTGTAAATTGTGCTGCTATGAACATAGGGGTGCATATATCTATTCTAATTGGTGTTTCCAGTGTCTTGGGACATATTCCGAGAAGTGGAATCACTGGGTCAAATGGGAGTTCCATTTTTAGTTTTTTGAGGAAACTCCATAATGTTCTCCACAGTGGCTGCAACAGTCTGCATTCCCACCAGCAGTGCACTAGGGTTCCTTTTTCTCCACATCCTCACCAGCACTTGTTTGTTGATTTGTTAATGATAGCCATTCTTCAAGTGTGAGGTGGTACTTCATTGCCAATTTGATTTGCATCTCTCAGATAATAAATGATTTTGAGCATGTTTTCATATGTCTCTTAGCCTTCCTTCTGTCTTCTTTTGAAAAGTATTTATCTAGGTCTATTGCCCATTTTTTGATTGGGTTGTTTATCTTCCTTTTGTTATGTTGTAAGAGTTCTCTGTACATGCTGAAGATTAAACCTTTATTGATGATAACATTGGCAACATGTTCTCCCATGCAGCAGGCTTTCTTATTATTTTGTTGATGGTTTCTTTGGCTGTTCAAAACTTTTTATTTTGATGTAGTCCCATTTGCTTATTTTCTCTTCAGATTCCATTGCCCTAGGAACTATATCAGTGAAGAAATTGCTGCGTCATATGATTGAGATTTTGCTGCCTATGGATTCCTCTAGTATTTTTATGGTTTCCTGTCTTATGTTTAAGTCCTTTATTCATTTTAAGTTTATGTTTGTGTGTGGTGTAAGTTGGTGGTCTAGTTTCATTATTTGATGTATCTGTCCAATTTTCCCAACCCCATTTATTGAAGAGACTATCTTGACTCCATTGTATGTTCTTGCCTCCTTTGTCAAATATTAATTAAGCATTGTGGTTTTGCCAAAACCGGTTTGGCTCAGTGGTAGAGTGTCGGTCTGTGGACTGAAAGGTTCCAGGTTCGATTCCAGTCAAGGACATGTATTTTGGTTGCGGGCACATCCCAAGTAGGGGGTGTGCAAGAGGCAGCTGGTCAATGTTTCTCTCTCATCGACGTTTCTAGAGCTTTATCTCTCTCCCTTCCTCTCTGTAAAAAACCAATAAAATATATTTTTTTAAAAAAAGCATAGTGGTTTGGATGGTTTCTGGGTCCTCTAATCCAGTGTTTTTCAACCTTTTTTGGGCAAAGGCACACTTGTTTCATGAAAAAAATTACGAGGCACACCACCATTAGAAAATGTTAAAAAATTTAACTCTGTGCCTATATTGACTATATATAAAGTAATTCTCTTGAATAGGAATCAAATAAACACAAAGAAAGTATTTTATAATT